ATGAATTTGACGGGAACGGCGGGGAGGGAATATAATGGGAGTGTCGTATGTATTGAGTATCAGCGCACACGAGTAAGTTTCTACTCCCGCTGTTGTAGCGGGGCGGATATGTAGCTTGACTAATGCAAGAAACTTAGACTTTCTGCTTCGAAATTGCAATAGGAAGTACGTACTTTCGACCGAGGTATGAAGGAAAAGCATTTATCAATAATCATATTTGAATTTATACGCTGTTCAATCTAAATTTAACTTGCGGCGAAGCACTTTCTTAGAAAGTATTTAGCCTCACCAACACCCAAGGCTTCTGACGGGAACGTGACTGGAGTAACTCAAATTTTTACTTTATTTTCGTTGGTCTGTCCAAATTAACAAATGACTGCATAAAAATAGTAAAATTACTTCGAGTAACTATAAGATCGAATTACCCATGTGTTTCCTCATCAGTGCACTGAGAGAAATATATCAATCTTTTCACTACAATGGCAGTTTCGAATTTGGTTTACCCGTAATCCCTCACATTTACTGGCCAACAGGCTGGCGAATGGACTCCGATGTCATGTGCTACTAACCGTATGAAATGATGGTATTTTTCATCGAAATGGTTCGGGAGATATTAATATTGTGGATCGAATCTTAGATTTTTCTCTCAATGTGATTCGATTGCGATTGATTCTATAACCAAGTCAGAGTTTCTAATTTATTCTGATTTCTCGATTCTCAAGCCTCCCTCTCAAAAATCATCGACTCGTCCGTAGCCGATTACAGAACCTTGTTGCATGGGGGACGCCATCGCAATTGGAGACCCTTAAATCTTCTTGAGACAGATACAGCGATCTTAAGATATGAGATAGAATTGGAATTGGGCCGGTAAAATTCGAATTCGCGTATCTCTTATTTCTAAACAACTATAAAAAAATTTCTCATTTGTAGACTGGACGTATCCGATTTTCTGACTCGAATGGGTAGTTTGCGGCGAATGCATCTCTCACGAGGTTGGTAAAATGCACAATTTTCTCTAATTACGCACCTTCTTGTTTCCTAATGGAAATCGGAATCAAAATCATGGAATTTAAGAAGCAAAGAAATATTATTCAAAATGGAAATTTACAAAAAAAAATTCAAAAAAAAATGGTCAAATTAGTATCTCGGTAGTAAATGAATATTACCGTTGAAATATGCAATTTCATAATCTGATTCATTCTATATATTTTGTAATGATTTTTCCTCTATGGCCTCAGCAAATACTCAAAAACCCTAGCCCGTTAAATCGATAACCGAAAACACGGCCAAAACCATTACCTTCGTTCTCGCAACTCTGACGACTCTGGAACGACAAAACCGAAAAATCTAAACGAAACTCCGGGGGTAATCAGCAGCTCTTTCCAATCCTTAAAAATGTGTTTAGGGCGCCAGCCGATTTTTAGCTACGCGGAATCGACGAACCGCAACCGTA